GTGTTTTCACCTGGGAAGTTGAAAAAAATTAAAACAAAGAACAGAAAGAGAAAAACATGTCGCTTTGATAATATTGTTTTCGACGTGTTTTTGTTTCTACGAATGTCCTCAGATAGTTCTAGCAAAAAAACTTCCTACTTACATTCGAGAAAAAACAAATAATACATATACGAAGATGTGGGCGTGAATAGCTGCGTGTATAAGGCGAGTGTGTGGGTGTTGATATAAAGACGTCCATACAACTATATATTCATGCAGACTCCGCACTCTTTGAGCTACTCTCCGATTATTTCTCTGAAGTTATAACAACACTTTCTCTTGTTTTTGACTGGTGCTCAATCACTCTTGATGACCAACGTCGCCTTTTAGTGGAAGTTTTGGTGCGCCTTCCACATAAACTAAAATACTACTAATTATTCATCTTTCTCTCAATATCATTATTTTGTGGATGTACAACTTCAATCATTAGATCTCATGTTACTCTAGGACAATCCAGAATATTAGAGAAGTGGCTCTGCTTTCTTATATTCTATACCTTTCTATTAGAGGTGAAAAGAAGCCTCATCTTCAATCTTCAGTTGCTATTCCTCAATTAGTTTTAAAAAACTGGAAATAAGCATTAAGATGTGATATTGATGAATTGTATGATTAGATCGCGTTTCTGGGCTGATCTTTCAGGTGGTTTTTCGAGGCAGTTCGGTCGTTCATATTACACAGAGATGAGCAGAAGAGAAGTGACACTTGATAGAACTTACGCTGCAGACACATAACAATTCAGTAAAATTTTATAGATATAGGTAAGGAAAATCTGATATTCCAGATGAAAAGGTTTCTAATGATTTTTTAGTAGTGTTCACATTTTCGAATAACGAAATTTTCGAAATTATTAACATACGAGTGGGTTATTTCTAGGAATCTTCTGTAATTAGTGATTCACAAGAAAGCCTTTTCAAGGAAATCATGTAAGCCATTTCAGAAATTACGCAAAATTTTTAAAACTTTTGTCACATTGATATGGATAAATTAAGTTATTAGTCTATAGAAATAGCAAAGATCAGCTCCAAAACTATAAGAATTTTCGTCAATTTGCCGCTATTTTCGGAATTTCCCAGTAAATTACTGACGGTAATTTCTGAAAATTCATGCGACTTGAGGTTAGACGCCTTCCTTACTTTTAATAAAAGTACGATGATAAATTTATTATTTCTATATAAAAATTTCAGTAATTTCCAAAATTTTCAAGAAAATTCTTTCTTATAAATCAGTAAACTGGAGTATTTCTAGAGATTATGTTGTGATGTGTTTGTAATTACAGAGATTTTCTTTTCCGAAATATTGAACAAACCTCTCCATTTTCTAGAAAAATGCAGTTGTAATCGCTATAATTTGTATCCCTAATATTTATATGAAAAATGGTTGGATGTGGGTAATGATGTTTTCTTTCTTTAGTACCCCACACCTTATTTATTTTTATCTTTTTTGATATTGTTATATTTCACGAGAATAAGGTGAACAAGTATTTAAATTTAATTTGCAATGCAGTAACAACGAATAAACTCTCCGACACTTCCTTTTTTTCTTATTCTCTGTTTTGGTTAATGATGCTTCTTTTTCTTTGTCAATGCTATGTTTCATCAAATGTACAGATCGTTCACTTTATTCTGAAATGATTTCGATCGATTTTTTCTCCGTCAATGATTTATCGAAATCCGATGATTTTCATATGAGTCCACCTCACATACATTGCAGATGTTGTTATAATGTTCTCAATTTGGATAAACAAATGTCTGGTAATAAAATATCTAATAATATCAAGGCTACGTCAAATATCTTTCGATGGAATAATATTCATATTTAGTAAAACAAGAATATTTATCTGAAATACGTTTGTATATATCAAAAAGTACCATTAGGTATGTCTCTAAAAAGATTAAAAAACAGCCTCAATCAGCTTTATAAAACAATCAAAATCCAAAACTTTATCGTCTATGTCATGTGACAACGCGTACAATTGGTTCGTCACACTATATCACATATAGACGAAGATATTGTATTAGTATTGCTATGACCTTTCCTATTATCCTTGATATAAATCATGCAAAAGAACGTGAAAACTTAATTGATCGTTGATATTCATCTATCATTGAAAAAGAAACCATTTTAGTGCTCAGAGCATGTGATATCGATCACGCGATATGGCCTACAAAATAATGTGTGAACCAATTAGACATATTTTTAAACATAAATGGCGCTATGATTCAGCATTTTTTTGATACACACAAACGTATTTCAATTAATGTTCTTGTTTTACTAAATATGAAATGTTATTCCATCAAAAGATATTTGACGTACTCTTCGATATTATTAGATGTTTTATTATCAGACACTTGTTTATCCAAACTAAGAATATTACAACAACATCTGCAATGTATATGAGGTAGACTCATATGCAAATCATCGGATCTCAATAGGTTATTGACGGAGAAAAAATCAATCGAAATCGTTTCATAATAAAGTGAACGAGCTGTATACTGAAGACCTTCGTATATAATTTTTTTCCTGTTGTTCACTTTTTAATAAAATATAAGCCTTAATGAGAAGTACAATAAATAAAGAAAAATGAAATGATCCATAAATTCTTGTATGAAAGAAGAAAAGAAGTTTTTTCTACTTCGAATACAAAAACCATACAAAAAAGAATAAAAATTGTCTGCTAAAGACAATAAGTGACATGTATTTTTCATTATAATATACTATCGAAAGAATTTATATTATCATAAAAATATAAAATTATAACTTCAACTGATAAGAAATGAAAACAAAATTCTATTTTACTTTTTCATTCCATGTAAAACAATACTATTGATTATCTTGAATAAACTTTAGATGAACTGGAAAGAATGTGCTGGAACAGTTCTCAGAAGTTTAAAATAATTGTTCTCCTCATGTTTTGCTATCTGATAATGAATTCAAATTATTCAACATGTTAAATAGATTAAAACAAGATGCAAATATATTATGATACAAATCTTGATTACTATGATTCTTTAATTAGTAAGTGTTTGAATAAAAAAATAAGAATATTGAAATTATAATTGCTAGATATGAAATTTAATACGAGGAAAAATTTTATTCATTTCAATAGAGTAATAAAACTGATTTCCTGTCATTACCAATAAGTCTATTTTTTTTATAATTCTCATAGACGTATCTGATATTCATCATTACTCGTTTAAATACGACTAGCAATTGTGTAGTCAATTAACATTATAACAATGGACTATTTTTTGCTAATCGCTTTGATTTGTATGAAAGAAACTTTGATTAAAATTCATTTCAAAAAAGTGATATAAAAGATTAATAGAACTCTCTTTTTTTTCTAGATCTACCTTCGGATTTGAAAAAAAAATTTATAATAGGAATGCAGGTACACAAAGTCTAAATTATTTTAAAAGTCTTATGGTTTGATTTGTTGAATCAATGAATGTGATATGTTATGATAGATAAGAGAAGTTCATTTAGAAACGTGTAAATATCATCATTGATCCTAATTGCGCATATCATTTTTGCTTGAAAATGTTCTTTTGCAGAGTAATCGATTATCATATGACAAATGTTGATTGATGAATTTAATTAAAAGTTCAAATGTGACATTCATCTTGCGTCATCTCGTTTATGAAAATATAGAACAATATGAACCATATAGAATGGCATATTGGGACTGATTTTATCAAGATTTATCAGATTTATCATTTGATCATTACATAACTACATATGAAGAGAAAATTTTATTCGAAAATAATGAGTTTCCTTCGATTATTTCTATTTGATGTTAAAATAAATATTAGCATCTAAAAAATAATCCTCGAGAAGCGATTGCCTGTTTGAATGATGTCGCCAGATATGTTATTGAACATTTTTATATGCTTCATTTGATCATTCAAATAACTATTGATATAAAGAAATAAGAATGATGGTTGCTTTCTTCCGGTCTATTTCGTACGTGTATGTTTATTTATCTCTTCAATAATAATCAATGGATCAAATCTGTTCTTCGTTATCTATTCTCTATTAAAAGAACAATGTTGTATCATCATAACCTTTTCATTGATCATAATAATATGATCGGCCTTTATTGATTACTTCATTTTGTCAATTATCTCTTTTCGAATTCTTTAAATTAACAAAATACCTTTATTATTGAATATTCTGTTAAATTCTTCATTACATCTGTTAATATATTTTTATATCTTTATCTTTTCTCCTTAGGTAAACACATGTATTGATCGTTGGAGTTCATTCATATTTGTTAGAGGCAGCTGTCGTTCTCTTCCTTTTCTTTTTCTTCTAACTCCGATTGCTTACTATGAGAATATAACGGAAAGCTATATTATACGCTTACTCTTTAGTTTCTCCTTTTTTTTGATTGAATACAGACGCAGCAGGACAATAAGCATGTATATGTTTCTATGATGCAATCTTTAATATTGAATCTTCGACCACGACGACGAAGTTTATTTTAAACAAGGTCATAATAACATAATAAGAAGTGCTGTTCTTTCTAATAGGATACAAAGAAACCATGGATATATATGAATACATATATGTATATATATATATATATATATATAGTATATGTATATGAGCTGACCTACAACAAAAGCAGAAGCAATCACACATTTTAGACACTCAACGATCAATGAGCTCTTTTTTTTTTTTTCTTTCTGATAAGATATGTTCGAGATCGTTAACTTGGCATCTGTCTCCCCACCTTTTTTTCTTCTCTGTCCTTTCTTTCTCTTAACTACACCACCATCATCATACAATCGTCTCTTTTTTTTTTCTTATTTTTTCTTTTCTTTGTGTATGATTGACCGATGAACAATATTTTGAACTACAGTTACTAGACTCATTGATCTCGTCATTGTTTCGTCGTTTTTCTTTAGATTATTATTGTTATTGTCTGTGTGTCGTATCTATTAGTACATGGCACATTATTTATGGCGACGTCCCGATTTATTCGATTTTTTAGTCGTCGTCAAACAAAAAAGCAAGCAACAATATTAAATGATGATAATAATAATAATCATCATTCAAAATCAAAACTTTTTTTTAATGCAAAAACTAATTTAATTGAAAAACCTCAATCAATAATACCAATTAAAAATGGTCTTGTTTGTACTGTTGTTTTTCTCGATGGTGAAGATGTTAATTTTGAAGTAGATGTAAGTTATTAATATGAAACTCTTTAGTAATGATATGATATTTTAGTGTTCAGTATATTATGAACACAATCACATCAATTTTCGATTAATAGGTTTAGCTAATTGCAGATTGACCTGTCCAGACATATTGTCATATGCATGTATAAGCATGTATCAGCTGTTATAGTTTATCTAGCATTGATCAAACTTTATTTATTTAGTCTAAGCATATACTTTCATTCATGGCATCACTAGAAGTAATCTTGTATATTCTATTGTCATGTTAAATAAAGAAATACAATAATGAGATGATCAAATAGACTTCTATACGTGCAAAGAAATGAATTAATTTCGTGATTAAAAACAAAAGAAGACATTCTAATTAAAGATGTAAACGAAACAAATGATCAGTGTATCGATGATATTCAGTTAAAACAAAAAAAAAAAAAAAAAAAACATTATCTAATCTGTTGTATTATGTCAATTTACTCATGTGATATGCGATGATCATTGATTTAGTTTTCTTTTTTTTATTATTTAGCGTAAAGCTCTTGGCAAAAATCTTTATGATAAAGTAATTGCTCATACAAAACTTGTTGAATCTGATTACTTTGGTCTTCAATTTATTGATACACATAATGTTAAAGTAGATTATATAAGATTTTTCTTTCCTATGTTGATTATTTATTTTTCATTAGCAATGGCTTGATGCAACTAAATCAATTAAAAAACAATGTAAAAGTAAATAGAAATTATAATTAAAAGATGAAACAGAAAAGAAAAAAAAAATAACAAGTTAAAATTATTTTTCTTCTAGTTGGACCACCATATACATTTCGATTTCGTGTAAAATTTTATACATCAGATCCATTAAATCTTCATGATGAATTAACTAGGTGAGAAAAGAATATTTATTCTTTTGTTATAATTGATTTTTGTTGTTTTCTTTTTTTTATCTAATAAAGATATTTGTTTGTACTCCAACTTAAAGATGATATTCATACGGGTAAATTAGATTGTCCATCTGGTACAGATGTTGAATTGGCTGCATTATCTATTCAAGGTAAATAGATTTTTTTTTTGATTAATTTCAAATACTTTATTTTTTTTCTTCTTTACAATAATAAAAATATTCAATAAACGCATTCTTTCTATAATAGAAGATAAAATTTGTTCGACTAGAAGATTTTTACATACAATTCTGAATGGAAATTCCAAGTTGAGGTCATAAGTATAATTAAAGATGAAACATAAGTAAAACTAATGCCGCTCATATTTGATGACGTAGATAACTATTTACACTGTCAATCTACAGTTTTGACAAAACGAGTTGATTAATGATCATGACATAATGATGAAAGAAATGTACTATAATTCATTTTTCATTATATTGATGAGTGATTTATTTGATATTAGTTTTAAAGATATTGTATTCGAATTTTTGAAGGGTTTTAGTAGTGTAAAAAGTGTGTTAGTTATTAATGACTGTTTGTTTCACAAAATATTTTGAAATGTAATCAATCAATTTTATTTATAAGTCTGATATCATTAGGTAGGAACTTTTTGACAAAAATACTTTTGTAATGAACTAGTCTCATTGAGAACTTTATTTTTTTTTTTTTAGAATTTAAACTCAAAAGACAATGTTGACAATTATCTGAGGCGAGACATCATACATCGTAATTTCTTTTTTTTGAAAGATGCACTAAAATAGTCATAAATCAAAAAGAAAAAAATCTAATGTCATAAATCCTACTTAATGATCTATGATTCAATTCAAAAATGATTTATCAATTTTTGAAGTTTCTCACCAGATCATTAATTTTATAAAATGTCAAGAACATAAAAAAAAACATATGCCAGTTTTAATATAGCGAGTAAAACAACTCAAAAATAGATTAATTCTAATTTATAATTATAGTTAGTCTTAACTGTAAAACAAATCTATCGAGCTATTTCAAATGTTATTTCTTATCTTCAAATAATAGAACGAATTCAAAAATGAATAATTCATAGAATTTAAATCATGTATTCAGAAGCGTAACTCAACACTGACTGGCAGCAGGGGGCATTATGTCCCACCTCTCACTATAAGTTACACCCCTTCATATATGTTCTTCTTACTCAATGACATATACTTATTAATCAAAATGTTAAAGAACTAATGTTTTTCTTTTCTCTTCTAGCTGAATTAGGAGATTATACAAGTGATGAACATTCAATTAAAAATATATCACAATTTCGTTTTCTACCAGATAATAAACAAACCGAAGAATTTGAACGAGAAGTTTTACAAAAATGGCCAACATATAAGTAAAAAAAAAAAAAAAACTTAGCATCATTTTTGTTTTTTATTTTCAAAAATAAAAAAAAACTTTCCTTTTATTACAACAGAAGTTTAACACCAGCTGAATGTGAAATACAATTTTTAAATAAAGCACGTTGGTTAGAAATGTATGGCGTTGATTTACATACAGTTATGGGTAAAGATGGTTTAGAATATACACTTGGTTTAACACCAACTGGTATTCTTGTATTTGAAAATAAAATCAAAATTGGTTTATTTATTTGGTAAGGAAACAAAAAACCTTGTCAACACAGTCTAACCCGTGCTAAAATGTGAAACTCACAGATGTTCTTTAGCCTTAATATACTAATAGAAAATACACTAATTGAAAAATCTCCCGCAGACTATAGTTGTTTTCCAAGGATATAGGATGTTTCCTAAGTCTTGATATGCAACAAAATTAGTTTATATGAACACAGAAAATAATTCCTAATTGAATGGTTTTATATGAAGTACTGAATGTCACAGAATGTTTTTCTCTGCCTGATACATCTATTCAATTAACATAAAGATTCATAAATGTTTCTGGACTGACATACAGGTTTTCTATGAAAAAAAACCTTGGATTTTAAAGATTTTCCGCATTGTTTTGTCTTAGAAGTACTTTAGAAGGAAAATAAGGACATATTCAGAATTAGCACAAAAAACTGTATCGAACAATGTATCATTAGTTAATTTACAAAATAAAAATTCTTTCACCAAAAAGTTTAGAGTAAAGGCACTCTCATGGATTTTATATCTAAACTCTTACGAACTTCACTTTTTGCTCATCAATCTCTTTATTTAATACTAAAACTTAATATTTATATTTAAAAAAAAACCGCGGTTTTGACAGAAAATAAGCCGTGTCTATATGCTCTGTAGAAATTGCCCATTGTGTATCTCTGCTATTCCTATGAGGTAGAAGCCGTCAAAACCTCGATTTAAAACTTACACTCACTATATATTTTTTTTTATTCCAAAAAACATAATGTGAATATTACAAAACATTTTTCTGAAACGAAAAATATAATAACGAATTCTTTTTTTTTTTTTATGTATTTTTCAGGTCAAAAGTAACACGTATTAATTTTAATCGTAATAAATTAACAATCGTTGTTATTGAAGATGATGATAATGATTCACGTTTACAACGTGATTTTATTTTTTTATTTCGTTGTTATGATGAAAAACAATGTAAACATTTTTGGAAATGTGCTTTAGAATATCATGTTTTTTTTCGTGCAACATCAGCAAATAAAATTAAACTAAATGCAAAATCAAATTTTGCACGTACTGGATCAAGATTTCGATTTAGGTAAAAAAAAGAAAAAATAAATGAATAATAATAAAAAAAAACTAGAATATTTCTTTTTTAAAAGTGGTCGAACCGAATGTCAAACAGCAGCATTAAGAACTTTAACAAATCATAATATGAATTTTGAACGTAAAGCATCTCATCGTTTTTCACGTCATGCATCATATGCAATAAGAAAAAAAATTCAAGAACAAGAAATTTTACGTGAACAAGAAGATGAACGTTTAAGAAAATTAAAATTTCAACAAGAAATAAAATTAGATGAAAATAAAAAATTAATAGAGTAAATTTTAATTAGATTTATTTTATTTTTTCTTAATATTTCTTATTTATTTGTTTTTTTAAATAGATCAAAATCTCAAACAAATTCATTTATATCAAATAATGATATAACATCAATTTGTAAACGTTCATCATTACAAAAAACTTTAACTTTATCAGCTACTCAACGTCTTGATAATCTTATTCAAGGATCTCCGAATGATTTATTATTGAAAGGTAAAGATGAAAAAAATCTTTTGCTTATTTAGTAAAGAATAAATCAAGATGTTTCATTGTTTCGAGATATGCAAAATCAAGTTTTCTGCTCGCAAACCTAGACTTCCTCTTCTCAAATCTGATGAAATTCTTCAATTAGTTATTTCCTTTTTGTTTATCGGTTACCATAGATATTTTTTTACATAATACACGATCTTGAAAAAATTTAATCAACATTTTTTTTTATTAAGTAATGTTTACATTAATTAATTTTCACTTGAAATATAATCACAAGCAATTGAATATTTTATATTTTCATGTTGTTACAGTGGTCTCTGCGTAGATTGAATACCCTTGTTTATTAATTAAGCATTGTAATCATTTCAGTATTGAATAAAACAATTCTGCGTACATTTGCAAATTATATACTAACTTAACTTGTTCTTTAATTACCTTACAGTTTGCAATAGATATTTAATAATTAGACTTAATGATAAATAATGTCCATTGGTTTTTATATAAATAATCATAATTGAAAACAATTTTATAAATATCTTATTAAACTTGTGACATTATTCAACGAAACTCTTTTAGTATATCTTCATTTGGATACTTTTGTGTCTTTTATCATCCGTATTAGTAAGACTAGAGATACAAAAATTTAACATAATCTTCATCTAATTGCAAGAAATTAGATGCCAAACTTTTTTATATGAAATTTGATAACAATAGCAGACATAAAAAAACTTTCTTTGTTGATCATACTGTATATAATACATTTGAATATCTGATAAACAAAAGAACAACAATAGGATTGATTCATGCTGAGTAAAGAAAACGATTGCATATCAAAGAAAATAAATATGACCTCGATATTTCTATAGATATGTTTATAAATCATAGAGAGTGATATTATCAAAACCACTTGTGTTCGACTAATAGGCTACATAGATTAATATATGAATGAAAAGTACTTGTAAAAAGATTCCATGAGTAATAATAAATACATTAATATCGATTATTGAGTTGATTAATAAAAACTAACATATTTAGATATCAGACAAATATGCTAGAGTTTCATAAATCCTTGACTAAATATATTCTCTTTAGTTCTTGGACTATGATGATCTAAAATTATTGCATATTTCACATTTGCATCGAGAGTAAAAATCAAGAAATTCTCTTCCTTGAAATTTTTACTTTATTAATTTCTCTATACAATTTGATCTCAAATTTATCTTTATAGAAATAAAAATTTTTTAAAATGCAATACTTAATCAATTTCTTAGATTAAAAATCAAAGATTTCACTAAGTTGACTATTTTTAAAGTAGAAAGAGAAAATCTGGAAAAAATACTCAGTTCTACTTAAACTAAATTTCAAGTTTTCAATGTTAATTGAACTATAAACTTTTAAAATAACATTTATAATATCAAATCTAATCAATTAAAAATGTTCAAAACGATAAAAATCTTCTAAAATAACATTTTGCTCTCATATTCATTTCCATCATTTGTTTTATGACACATCATCTCATACAAAAAAAAATCATCTTTATTTATAGAAAGTGAACTCAATATAAATTCAACAAATCTTTCTCCTGCACCACCAATTCCTCCTCGACAAATAAAATCTGATGATAAAACAACAACACCACCACCACCATTAGTTCTTAACAAACAATCCAATCCGGTAAATTCCTGTTCAATCAATAATAATAATAATGTCAATACAAAAAAAGGTTTGTCAATATATATATTTTTTTTTCAAAATACTTAATGACGTATTTGAAAAAACAATTTTCTTTTTTTCGATACAGATTTATCAAATGAATGTACTTCTAATAATCATCATATTGATAATGATCAAACATTATTAATTCAACAATCACCACAAAAAATATCAACATCTCTAACTAACGGGTAAATAATTAATCTCAATTTTTTTTGTTTCTTAATTCAATTTATTATAGATCTCATCAAACAAATTCATTACGTATTGACAAAATGAACAGTGCATCCAATCGATATACATTAGCAAATAGTCAATCAATACCTTATGTAGTTAAAGTAAATATTCTTTTTTTATTTTTTAAAAAAAATTGTTTCTACTACTTTTTATCTTTTTTAATTTATTTATTACAAAAAAAAAAAGGAGCAAATATCTTCTAATAATTTACAATCGAATAAAACTAATAATAGCAGTTATAATAAAATATCTTTATTTAATAAATTTCCTCTATTTGCTTTACCTATATCTGAATTAACATCATATAATGATAATCGTGCATTATATGATAATATATTAAATTATTGTCTTAATCCATCGAATGAATCAAATTCAATTTATGCTAAATTTGATTTTCATCGTCGAAGTTTAAATTTTTCAAATCCAGAAGAACAATTTGAACAACGTTGTGCTAATTATGATAATTTATCATATCTTGTTATTGATGGAATATCATCAAAAAAAATTTCAAATAGAGGAAAAAAAAATATAGCTTCTTGTAAAGATTATTTTACTGCTAGTAATAGATTTATTTTTAATGAGAATGAACAACGTGAGTAAGATTTAGCATGAGATGAATGAAAATGCATGGTTTGCATTGTTGTTAACATACAAAAAAATAAATAAATATAAAGAGATATTATTTCATTATTTAGGAGACCTTCTTTCACAACGAAACAATATCAAACAATAATCAGAATAGAAATAATCAAAGTAAGTTATTAATAATAAAAGTTAAAAGGTTAATATCTAAGAATATAACGATGTACTTCTTCACTGGTCCATCATTCACCAGTGACAGTGACGCACTATCTCAAATTTGTACATATAGAATGACGGTGAATGCATAAGATAAACTATGGTGATCTGGAATTGACTTCGATTTTTTCGATCAGAAAGACCATTTAAAGAAAACAGCTGAATTTTATATAAAAAAAAAGACTACAAGCTTTCGAGGTTAGCGAATCCGAATCTATAGAAAAGTTTGTTAAAATTCTTGAGTTCGATTTTCTCATTTCAGAAAGGTTTAATTCTCACAGATTATGTTTTGTAGAATCCACATATATTTTCGAAGAAAAAAATAAATGTCAATTTTACCACAGTTGTCATTTGATCAAGTTATAGCTTTAAAAAATAATCAATATTTGTTTTTTGTGAGTTGATCGAGATATATAATAGTGTGTTAAGACGTACTGTTGTATGTATCATAAATATTTACAATAACCTTATTTGCTATTTAATTCAATGATTATAATGATAACAATGTTAAATTAAGAAAAACAAAATACGAAAATGAGGCAAATAGCAATGATACAAACAAGAAAAAAAAACAATAGGGCGCCGATAGAAAAAATTTCTATTCGCAATGCAGAAATAAATAAGATAAATCTTTACTGTATTGATCGATTATCTTCGAACAGAGCTATAGTCTATAAGAGATTTGTTTTTACTTCATCTATTTTGTATTAGTTTAATGAGGCTAAAGAACATATGTAAGTTCGATATTTCAGCCTCAAAGGAACTGCACTAACAAACTTTCTTTATACGTGCATCTCTAGATCAGTGTAGTGCTCTACCTAAGACTGGTGATCGCCATTACTGTTTCATGTCTATCAATATCTGGTGTTTCTTTGCTGAATGTTATTATTATAAAGTATCATTTTAATCGATAGTTTATTTCAATTTAGACGTATCAATAGGTTCTATAGCTCCCGTTATAGTAACACGAACATTAAGTCAATCAAATGTTCATAATGCATCATCAACAATAGTTCAAGCAACACATTCAACACAATTGAAACCTCGTAGTTCATCATCATCAATGACATTTCCATCAAATCATTCTCAATCTTATCATCCACTTACAACAGAATTATAAATGTTTTAACCTCTATGAGGTTTGAATTTTAATTTGTATATATATATATATAATATTTGGTGCTGTGTTTTTAATCATTATTGTCTGCTGTTTTTTTTTAATATATATATACATATAATTTTACTTTTGCTTCTATAGAATTTTTGAATGAATAATTAATAAAATTGAAAAAAGCAAAAACATCATCATTATTATTTTCATCACATATGATTTTGATGATCTATTAAGAGGCGATGCTTTAAACATATGTGACATTTTTTTTTTTCTATTTGAGGTTCTAATTATCTCATCAATTCTAATGAATAAACTTTCCTGTCGACTAGAAAAATCAGATGTTAGATCGAATCAATGGAACGGAATGTGTCTGATTTTTTTTATGCTGAAAAAATCGATAATATTGCTGGGGACATTATCATCATCCGTGATACAAACATTTCTTGACACCAGCTGTGCCCTCAACTTAATAAATTACTTTGCCTCCTCCTCTTTCTCCTCCTTCTAATACGTTATTTTTGTTAGTTGTCGCTATCGCCTACAATAACTTCTTTCTTTCCTGAATAGATAAAATATATACATCATTTATATTTATTTTTTTTTATTTTATTTTAAAAAAAGGTAAGATAATAGTGATTTTGATTTGATGATTAATAATTAATATAGTAATTATTTATCTATATTTTCAGTTACCATGATTGATTTTCTTATACTTTTTAATAAGATAATATTTTTGAACCTCTATAACATTAATATTTAAAGGAAAGTTAATTTAGGGAAAATGCATTAATATCTTAAAAATCATCAAATCTAAACCGCATCCAATCAGATTTTATTGAAACACAAGTGGAACGGAAAATACTCACTATACAAGTAGCGACGTCATCGTCGTTGACAATCATCATTTAACTGAATTATTAGATTGATTGTCCTTGAAATTTCTATGTTATTTGTTTATATTTTATTTTATTTTTTAGATGACACAAAATAATGCTGGTGGATCAGTTAAAGATGCAGCCGATCAGAATTTTGATTATATGTTTAAATTACTTATTATTGGAAATTCATCTGTAGGAAAGACATCATTTGTATGTTACTGTTTATTTTTCTTTTTTATATAAAATTGTATTTTTTCTTCATGAAATGCAATATATATTATTTTTAGCTTTTTCGATATGCCGATGATTCGTATACATCTGCCTTTGTTAGTACAGTTGGTATTGATTTTAAGGTTAAAACTGTATTTCGTCATGATAAACGTGTTAAATTACAAATATGGGATACAGCTGGTCAAGAACGTTATCGAACAATAACAAGTAAAAAAGAAACCAATATTTTATTTAGAATAAACGAAAAAAACCTATATTCGACTTTTTTTGCTTCTCTTAGCTGCATATTATCGTGGTGCAATGGGTTTCATTCTAATGTATGATATAACAAATGAAGAGTCATTTAATGCTGTACAAGATTGGTAAGTTAAATAGATAGAAAAAGAGACAAAATATTTTTTTTAGATAAATAAATGCAAAAAAAAAAAAAAAAAGTTTCAATATATTCATCCCTATATGTAGAAAAAGAAACACACCATATTGAGATTATTTTCAGGTGTACACAAATAAAAATGTATTCATGGGATAATGCACAAGTTGTTCTAGTTGGAAATAAATGCGATTTAGAACAGGATAGAGCTGTAACACAAGAACGAGGCAAACGTCTTGCAGATCAATTGGGTAATTTGTTAAATATTGTATATTGAATGTACATGATATATATATATATATATATAATTGTTGTTATTATTGTTTATTTTATAATCCTTTTTTTTTTGGCTTTTCTTGCTTGATATATGTTGTGTTGTATGTTATGTTTTTAAAGGGTTCTGCAGATAAAGACACATTCATGGGAAAAAACCCCGGTTATATTGATTGGGAATAAATGTGATATGGCAAATGAGAGAGTTGTTCATTTGGAAGAAGGAAAAAAACTTGCCGATGCACTCGGTAAGTTTTTTTCTTTCATATATTTATTTTAATTGACAGATTTTCAATAATATGATTATTATTATTATTATTGTATTTATTTTCTTTTCATTTTATTGTTTAGGTTTGGAATTTTTTGAAACTTCAGCAAAAGAAAATATCAATGTTAAATCTGTATTTGAAAGGTAAAGAAAAAAAAAAATTATTTTCTAAAATATTCTTCTGTTTTCTTTCTATGTGTATGCGTTTCATTTTAGATTGGTTGATATTATTTTAGAAAAAATGTCTGATGCAAGTGATGATTCAAGTGGTACTGGTCAAGGAAATACTGTTTACGGTAATCAACCAGGTGCATATAATAAAGGAACTACAAGACTTACCGCTAATGATCAACAAACTAAAGGCAATCAATGTCAATGTTAGAAGAAACAATAGACACATCTTTTAACAGATTATTGCAATTTTATTATTCCAATCGATATTTTTTCCTTTATATTTATTTGTCGTTGTTGTTATTGTTTGTCTTGTAAGAAAAAGCAAAAACACTGTCAATAAGATAAAAGTTTTTCGCATTTTTTATTTCTTTAATGAATATCATTCCAATTTAAGTTTAAGTGTATATAAATGTGATGTGACCATATTCTTTTCCTTCATCCTTGTATTTCATGTATTTTTTAGTCTTTTATTTTTTTTTTGTCATGTGACCATTCATTTCATTCTTTTTTTTTTTTTTGCTGATCATCATACCTCAATCATATTTTTATGTTCAGTATTTTTGATGCATCCATTCATGTCAGATGAATAGTGGTTCATCATTTAATCTGGTCTTCGCGTTTGGCTCTCTACCCTATTGGTTTGTTTTTTTGTTTCTGTTCTAACCAAAGTATACATCATCATTCATACATACATTTCGAAAACACTCATTTCATGATTTTATATTAGAAACGAGACATGTGAAATGATTGCTTGAATAATTCTATTCTATATTAGAATTACGCTTGACGTATGTCAAATGAGCCGGTGCAAATACAAAAAAGATTGCTGGTTCGTTGCATCATCTTTTTCTTTTCTGTTGTTCTATGGGTTTTTTTTCTATTTGGATCTTATTGCTGTCGCTTGATCAAAGGATTTAATGAAATAACTGATATAATAAAAATAGATTGAGTAAAGAAAGAAAATACGTGCTATCATTGTATAAAAGAGACATCTATTATTGCTTAATCTGTCATGTCATATTTATCATATAGTTACCAAAAGTTTTATAAAATCGAACAAGAACATCAACAAACAATACAGAATAAGAGCAAAAGGATTAATAAACTCATTATACTAACTAATAGATATAAAGAAAAAATTAAGATTTGATTTTTAATGTTCTACATAAATTGAAATTGGGATAATAAATAACAATGACTATAGATTATTAGTTTTCTTATTGAAATTTATATTTTTCTAGATAATGGATATTTCAGAGTTTGAAAAAAATTCTCTATCCAATATTATATTACGTTCATCATATATTCCTACCACTAATGATAATGATACTGATAAATCATTTTTTCTTGGTATTGATGAAGCCGGTCGAGGTCCTGTTCTTGGTCAGTTGAATAGAAATATTTTTTTAATTCATATATTTATCTAATTCTTTGATTAGGTCCAATGGTTTATTCGGCATTTTTCTGTGATGAAAATCAACTTTCAATTTTGAAAGATCTCGGTTGTGCAGGTAATTTGTCATGATAGTTTTAAAAGTGTCTCTTCTTTAAATTCTTTTCGATTACTAGAACGAACAGACAAATTTTCAAACTATATAAAAATTCTCATTTTTTTTTTTACATATCATCAATATCATGTTTTGTTTTGTTAATTAGTTCGCTAACAAAGACAGTCAATCGTATAGAATTCAGTGTCCATGCAGGCTTACAATTCGTTTTAATTAGTGGTATAAATCCTCAAGCTATGTCATCCTGCTATTAACGCTCTAGAAGTCGAGTCCTATTGCCACTGTTCTCATAAATAGCTATCAGCAGGAAATAAAAATAGATACTAATCTTTTTTTTTTTTGAAAATGCTTGACATGAAAGATTAGTTTTTAGGGATGTTCTTGCCTTGTTTCTTATTATTACATTCTCTACAAATATGTTCTCCCTTTTCCATGTCAAAATTTTTTGAAACTGAAAAAATCTTTTGTAAAAAAAAAACCCGTCAAAGCTTCTAGCCATCATCGTCGAGTTCATCAGCTGATATCTCTAATCTTAATTATTCATAAAATGACTGATAAATTGAAAGAAATAGATTAGTTTCACAAATTTTAATAGAAAAAGAAATTCCAACAAAAAATTAATATTATCTCTGAAATTTTAAATATTCTGAAGTTCTCCATAAAATTCTGTGTCTTTTTATATATGTTTCAAGGTTTTAGAAGATGCATATATATGAGAGAAAAATTTTCGAAGTAAAAAATTTAAGCATTAGATTATTTTGTTCAAAATTAAATTCTACACCAAATGGCATGAGAACAGTCATATCACAAACTCAGTCTCTCTTTGAAAAACATGGTTTTTCAGAATCCGTCGCAAAATACTACTAGATGTAAGTTCGAAGTCTTTTTCTTGTGAACAACAGCAACAAAAACCTTGAAAATGTCGTGAAAGCAGAGGGCATAAAATCCTCTATTCGTTAATGTTAGATATTTTACTTTCCGCATTGCTTCTAATGAACAAAGATTCACTAGATGCCTGGAGAAAGCCGGAAATCACAATTATACGATTGAGTAGTTGTTCATTTTTTTTTATTTTTGCATCAACAAAAGAAAAAATGATTTGAAAAACAAAGATAGTAGTTTTCTAGAGCAAGAAATTCTCTATCAAATAAGCCTAAAACGAAAAAAAATCGTTAATTATACATCGTCTGAAATTACTTTAATAAATAAACTCTTGATAAAATATTTTCTTATTTATTTTAATAGATTCTAAACAATTAACAGAAGAAAGTCGTTCATCAATATTTGCTAAATATGAACAATATAAAAATTATCTTGGTTTTATACTTAAAGTACTTTCACCTCATATGATCTCAACATGTATGTTACGACGGTATGTATTCATTTTTTATTTCAATTCAAGTTTTTTTTTATTTTCCGACTTTTTTTTTTCAGAGATAAATATAATTTAAATGATATGTCTCATGGTAAATCTATTGAATTCTTCTATTTATTAAATATCTTTTGTTTTTTGTAATCTTCTAGATGCAGCTCTTGAATTGATACAATTAGTTCTTGATCAAGGTGTCAATGTCAAGAAGGTATAAATAACAAGAGAAAAAAAAAATTCGTCGTCATCCTAGAAAAATCATTTGTTCTTTTTTTCAAAGATCTTTGTCGATACTGTTGGTAGTCCAGATACATATGCAAATAAAATTCGTGCTCGTTATCCAAAAATTCAAATAACAGTATCAAAAAAAGCTGATTCACTTTATCCAATTGTATCAGCATCAAGTATTTGTGCTAAAGTAGTACGTGATCAAATTGTTCAAAATTGGAAAATACATGAATTTGATGATGAAAAAGAATCGATTGAATATGGTTCTGGTTATCCTAATGGTAAAAAAAAAAGTACATTCAATTTTATTTTTGTTCATTATTTAATATAAATAGATCCTAAGACAAAACAATTTTTAATTGAATCTATGGATAAAATATTTGGTTTTCCAAAATTTGTACGTTTTAGTTGGTCAACAGCATCAACTATTATTGATAATAAATGTATTAAAGTAACTTGGTAAAAATAGTTGTTTTTTTGATCTATATTAAATAATTATTTTCTTATTTCTCTTTAGGGATGATCATGAAAATGAGAATACAACAAGTATAATTCCAACAAAAAAACGTAAATCTGAAGTAGTTGAAACAACAACAACAACAAAAACACTTTTCAGTTATTTTTCTCAGAAATCTGTTACTAAAAATGATACTGGTCATCGACGTATATCGGGCAGTCATTTTTTTCGTGCTGCTCATCTTAAATCAGCTAGTTTTCATTGTAATTAATTGTGTATCATAATCAATAGAAAGTATTTCTTATCAAAAAAAAAAAAAAAAAGACAAATCATATGATATATTAACAAATAAATTTATGTGTATTGCTAAATATTTATTTGATTAAAATGACATAACAGTTGCGTAATATATCTTTCGAAGCAAAAAATAAATAGAACAAAATCTTTTGTTCGAATCCATTATTCATATAAAGTAGGTTAACTTCTCTTGCATGAATGATAAATGCAAACATACGATATGTTTCATTTATTTTGATCATTAGTATATGATTGTATAGATATTTTTTAAAGAAGAAGAAGAAGAAGAACATCAATTGTGATTTTTCTTATTTCGAACGGATAAGTATTATTTACATAAACTTTTATTAGAAATAAGAAGAAAATATCACGAACTTTCACATCTTGTATGATCAATAGAGACTTTATATCTCTATTGATTTGTAGAATACGCCATTGATTATCTTGCAAAAAATCTGGTTATATTACACTAAGATAATACAAAAAGTTTCGTTCCATATATTATAAGCAGAAAGAAGCTTATTAATCATCCGTATTATGTCAATAAATCCCTAAAAATGATTTATGAAGAAAATTAAAAAAAAAAAGAAAAGAAAAGACCATGATCTATTTTTAGATCAACATATGTGAATAGCAATATTTGCATTCTAATTACTTTTTTTTTATATTAATCTCATCCTTCTATTTATAGAATAAATTGTTTACAAAATTGAGGCAATTCTCAACAAATATGTCCAAACATATTGTATATGTATAAATAACCCCTAGCTACTATCTCAAAACTATTACTTTCAATATAGTATAAATATAATTGAGAAGGAAAAACAATTCTCTAGACATACTAATCATATCTCTTTTTTTCTTCTTCTTAAATAACAATCTAATATATTATCAATAAATTTTAGGAAATTTTCTGTAATATATCTAGATGTACGAGGTAAATACTTAATTTTAGTTGGAAAACACTGTTTTTGACTCTATTGATGATATGAACGGTGTAGCACAATTGTTTGCACATGAGGCAACAATCAATCAATCGTATCAGTTTAACGATAAATTTTTCTTATCAATATCATAACACTGTCATATATGACAAATGATAAATAATTCCATAATTTAGACTTTTCTAAAAATAAATTGATTGAAACTTATTCTTGCAAAAATAAGAAAATAATCTTTTCTTTTTTTTTTCTTTCATTAATTGATATAACATTGAATAATTAAGAATAATAGTCATCAATTTTTTATACAATTCATATTGAATAAATAGAAATTAAAAATAGTAGAATAATTTATTTAGGCAAAATCTTCTATGAAAAATCTAAAGGAACAAATAAAATTAAGCAAAAAAAAAAAAAGAATCTTTATTTTAAAATAAAAATCGAAGATTAATTAAAGATAAAATAATTAAAATATTAGATACAGTTTGACATGTTGTTGTTGATGATGATTTTTCTTCTATTTTATATGTTGTTGATGATGATTTTTCTTCTATTTGATATATTGTTGATGATGATTTTTCTTCTATTTGATTTTGTTTGTTATTAATATTATTCCAATTTGTATAATCACGAAGAAGTTTTTTAATTATTTCAATCGTTTCATTGTTATTACATAAATGTTTATTACATTTATATTCAATGAATTCGATTTCCTTTGCTGTTGACTTCGGTAAATAAGATCGAAATTCACTAAAAAATGTTGGAGTCTTATCAGAAGTACAATACTGTTTTTCATTCATATTATTTACATAACATAAACCATCTTGACATCGTATTGTTGATCTATTATACGTTGTATTATTAATTTCACAACGACGAAGTGCAATATTTTTTGGTAATAAAGATTGTCTATATAATTTTGATTTAATTTTATCAATTTGTAATTGACCATTAGTAATTAAATGTTTAATAGTATTAAAATAAAATTGACGTGCACAATCATTTTCTGTACTACATCCATATTTACGATCAGTTATATTTGGTTGCTCTGAATCTTGATTAAAACCTAACCATATTGTTTGAACAAGAAATTCAGATTGATTATATCCATCATAAATATGAGTATCATTACTAGCTTTAAAATTAATATAAATATTTTTAGCGTCGTAATCAATGCGATAATCGACTATACAGCTTGTAGAATAATCATAAATATTGATAAGACTATTATTATCTTGACATTCGTTAGATATTTTCAATGGTTCGAGAAATGGAACGGTGATTTGAGTACATTTTGATGTACAACGAAGATAAGTAGCTGAAGAATTTTGAATAAATAAATATAGAAATAGAATTACACAGACGACGAATCGTATGATCATCATTATCGATTAATAAAATGATGGATGCGTATGGTTTACTTTGTCACTTGATGGAAATTTATCTGAATTGGATCAGCGAAAAAAAAAAAACGAGCGATAGAAGAAAAAGAAAAATAGTTCACTAACACATGAATACATATATAGTAGATCTTTGCTGTTAACGACCTTTTTAGATATAGTTATTTATTCCAATAAACATATTCATCGCTTGTAAATAATATAAAGAAAATCACCGATCAACAAGGTCGTAAACGAATAAGAGAAGAAAGAACAAAGAAATCTCATATAAACATATGAATACATAACAACGTTTTCCTATTCCATTATAATATTATCCAAGATGATGAGCAATTTCATCAGAAAAAAAAGTAAATATATTAGTAAGAACCTAACGAATAGTAAATTAGTTTGTCTTAATGGATTCAATGGTTAAAACAAAAGAAAAAGGAAATTGACATATATCATTTCTCAGTTGATAATAGCGTAGAAATACTGATGTTTATTGAAGCTAGGATAAGCACTCTCCTGGAAGAATATATCTTCAAGCATATATAGGTCATCAGAGTAAAATATGAAGAAATATAATCGATTTTACAGCATTCACTTAGAGAAAGAAATATGTATCAAATATACCCTTTAACTACATCTATTTATCTTCAATGTTTACTTATCTTTATTCTAGATAACTAAAAAATTAAAATTCTCACTGTGTAATAGTCTGAGATTTTCTTATGGGTTACTGTTTCTTGAGACACTATCCAAAAGAGAAAATATTTTCTGGTTGTTTAGTTTATAGTACGCGACAGAAAAAAAAAAGAGAGAAAGATGATACTATCTTAACTAATTGGAGTCTGGCGAAGAACAAAAACAGATCTTATAATTTGTAATATAAGCCTTATATGACTCGTGCTGTCATAGAACATATTAATTAGACTACTGATTGGCTAGTTATTTGAATTGATATTTGTTCATTTCATTGATGTCTGTATTTTATATATAAAATATATATATATATATAAATAAGAAATAAATTTCCATAGTTTCTTAGTTATTATTGATCTAGTTTTATGATTTACATATGTATTCTACTAACATAAATATCATTCTTACTAATTAACTTTTCAATTGGTATGATATTTTTCATCGATTTAAATCAACATTCACCTCTTTGGTGCCAGGATTTTTTTTTTTTTTGAAAAAATAAAATTTCTTTTTTTATATAAGTGAAAATAAATGTTTATTCAATCAAAACTCATTATCAAAAGTGTTTTTATGATATGATAAACCTTGAAATAATCAATTATGCATAATCAATTATGCAGACTATTTCCACTTACTTTTGATTGATTTGGTATATAAACCATCACCGAATTTTGAGAAATACTCGAAGTAGTATATATACTATGGTCGGCACCAAAGGGTTAATCAAATAAATAATTACTTTAAAAAAAAAATGCTTATTTTTGCAAACGGTTGTGTTATGATTATATAATGAAGTTCTGTTTGATTATTTTTTATGCATAGAAATGTACTCCTACGTAAATATTTTGATATATTAGCTATGAAAAAAAAAAAGAATTTTATTAAAACCTGTTACTGAAAATTTATCATCAATATTGAATGAAAATGAATTGTTAATTCTTTTGAACTTTCTTAATTAATAAATAAAAAAACGTAAATACAATCGATTATATTTTGTTTTATATATTAATCAATATAGTTAAGAATAAAACTATTAGTACATTAATGGTTTATACACAACAAATTTAAATTTTGATAAGTCTAGTCAAACAGTCGAAACTCAAAAACGTGACATAAAAGAAATGCATTGAAACATTTCCATCAAATATAGCAACAGATGTAGAATTGAGCTACTGTCAATTTTTTTTTTACATTTATTCAATTATTGATAATAAGGGATGTCCCAAGATTATTTATGAATACAATGCGAAGCACAGCGAGTTCTTTTTTTAGTTTCTCATCGGATGCATCAATATTAGTAATTTTCCGCAGCAATGATCTTGAGAACAGACACTTAGAAGAGAGTCATTCAAACGTGAATATAAAAATTTCATGGTTGATTCGATATCGTTCGTTGTCTGGTTTTCAAGTGCATGTCTCATTTTCTAACAGGAAACAATCGCCAAAAAAGAGCACGCTTTTGATGATGTTTTTGTTCTTAAAGTTCGAGATAACCGAAGCGAAAACAACAAAGGTTAGCAGCGATTCTTTTTGCTTTTATATTAGACATCTATGAATACAACTAGTGATAAATAACGAATCAAAGAGATCATCAATCGATAATCTACATTAGAGACAAACTGGTATTAATTAATGGAGTTCTCTTAGTAATGTCAAAAAAAGTCCTAATTCCAGTAAAACGTAAATATCTTTTTTTTGGAGAAAATTACATCGTAATCAACCGCAAAAAACAATTATGCGTTCTTTATGAAGTATTGATTTTCAAAGCTTCGCACCACAATTAACAGTCGAGTGGAACTTGAGTGCTATCTAGTTTATTATCTTAGTGTTGCATATATGTTAACATCTGATATTTTGTCGTTTGGATTTATCATATTGATTTTAAGCGTTTTGATATAAACATATCGTTGCCATTGTGATTCTGTTTTGATTTCAAATGTAGAGCGTTTCGTTATCATAACTGGATTATGCAAAACCTATTTCTTCCTTTTTCAATTTTCTTTCTTAGTATTGTTTCTTTGTTATTAAGTTTACAATGATTGAAAAAGATATAATCCATGTTTAGAAGTAGTATTACAGATAATCGCTAATTCAAAAGTACTTTTTTCTTGTCATAATCAATGCTGTACAGATTGTTAGAGATCACTGGCAGCGATTCTTTATCATTGGTTTTTTACTGTAGACTTAAGGAAATCTTCCTTCTGTTCGCAATCCAAAATTTTTAGATTTTTCATTTTTTTTTTAAATTTGTTTTATATACGCTTCGAAGCATCTTCTATCTGTTAGGAATATTTCAAGAACTAATAATATGTATTTATAAAAGCCGAAAAACTGGAAAAAATAGAAATTTACACGTTATTTCGTTGTTTTTGAAAAATGGATTTCTCAAGAAAAAAAAAAGTGAAGAATCGCTTCTGTTGCTCAATTACAGTGCATCTGATCGAATCGAAAATTTCTTCTACTTACTCTAAAATGTGTTTAGAGTATATATTTTTTTATCTGTTTCAAAAGATAATGCACCGCTGAATTTTGTCAGGCTTCATACAAAAAGCTTCAATGAAAATACTAGAAAAAAAAAACATGCCTTTTTGAGGATACTCTGACTATTTTGATGTTTTTGTTCGGATGAAAGCAAATAAAAGGAAATCAAACCAAGTAGTCGATCGAGATAGTATCTGGTATATGTAAAAATAATTTTGGTCCTATCAAACGTATCATAGAGAAGAAAGGAAAGGCGATAATCCAAGCAGTTTCATGCTCTTATAAACCCAATATTTCCTGCAGAGATACATCCATGAATTTTTGCTTTATTCACTAAAAATTTATATGCCCTGGAATTTTCAAAATATTTTGATGAACTATTCTCCAAAGCATCTTAAATGATGAATAACTCTACTGATTAAGTTAAATAAACATTCATGAGATTGTCAAAAAGGAAACAAATATGCATATTATAGAAAAAAAAAAATTCCACAAGAATATAATTATATGATAATTTAAATGAC